TGATATTTGATTTTGTTTACATTATTCTGAAAATATGTCATGTTCATTGCAGACACTGTAGCAAATGAATGGTGTTGGGTCCCCTGTTTTCGATTTCAGTTCCATCTTATTGCGTGCAAGCTCTAGAATAGAATAGAATAGAATAGAATAGCAATTACATTTCATCAATAAACACACAACACCACCAGTCACCACCGAGCTTAAGCTGATGCAATACCCTTATCTCAATGTAAAACGATACTTTTATTTTTTATTGATTAGACATTTGCATTCATAGTGGTGCAAGTGTGATCCATATAAAGAACTAGCTAGACGGAAACCTATGTATAAGGTTTTGAGCTAACCATTGCTAAACTCAAGACTAGTGCTGAGTTCATGACGTTGCTTGCAGATGGCCAAATTTAATTTGTTGGTAGTGTCAGTGATCATTTAAAAAATTATAACAATTTATAGGTATATTTATTTATGAAAGATATTTTTTATTATAAATTTGATTTATAAATATTTATTTTTAAAGTAAAATTAAGTGAATTCGGATAGAAATTTTTTTAAAGTGTGATAAATAGTTTCATTAAATATTTTTGAAATAATAAAATATTTTTAAATTATTATCAATATATTAAAAAAAATTTAAAAAATTTTAAATTAAATTATTTGATAAAGTTTAAATATGTTTTAAAGTTTTGATAACTTAAAATCAGATTAGTATCATCTTTTGAATGAATGTTATGAGAGTACTATAATTTTTTTATAAATAATCATATTCTTATATCTAAATTTTAATTTTGTGAATTAAAATATATTATTTAAAGAAATCTAAATTAATATTGAAACTTATTTTTGAATAAAATAGATTCTATTAGATGACAAATCATATCTTAACAAAAAAATTAGTAATGATTTCTTTAATTTATATCTAGTAGTAAATCTATAGATATGTACATTATGAGAAAAGTAATCTAATTCCCACAAAAAAAATGAAAGATTTGGTAAAGTAATATGTAAAATTAACAATAGTCAAAATTACACATTTAATATGCAATTAAAAACTTTTTTTATCAAAATTTATTGTAATTATTTTATATTATAAATTTTAAATTTTCAAATTAATATTAAATGTCATAAGTTCAAAAAATAATTTGTGTATTTTGTTAATTTATATATAGTAATCTTTTGATTTTTTAATAGATTAGTTTTATTTTTTAATTCAAATATTTTTTTACATAATTTATATTATAAAAATTAGTTTACTTATCAATAAATATATTTTAAATTAATTATTTAATTACATTTTATTATGAAGTAAATAAAATATTATTAATATTTAACAAATTATTATTTTTAAATAACAATTAAATCATTAATTTATATAGCTATTATATTATATATGCACGGTTATTTTGATATATTTAAATAAAATAATTTTTAATTTTTAATAATATCAAACATAATGATATTAAATTATTAAAAATTAATGAATTTAATCAAATAACATAATTTTAAATTATGAAAATTAAAATTATCTTGATAATTAAATTATCATAATAGCTTTAAAAATGATACGATCGGTTCACGGAGGGCTGCTGGTCATGCTCGTAAACGAAGAAAGAACGGATGGAGAAAGAGGAAGGGAAAAAAAAAATAGTGGGACTTTTTTTTGATATATTAGAGGTGTCCCGTGCAAGCAACATACGGAAAAACTAAGAATAATTTTTTAAGCCTGTCAACTAGAATATTATATCACTGCTGAACTTAGAAAATGCTAATCCCACTTTCATAATCTGATGACTCTCAGTAAAAGTTGAAAGTGGTCCACAAAAGCACCCAGTATTTTATTAATCATTCTATACTTTGCCTTTGACTGGTCACCAGTGTCAATATTCCCAAAAACAAAAGAGAAAAAATATATTTACGAGAGAGGATATTCTGCTTAGACTCAGGCACATAAAAAGTTTTTAGTTTAACATTCTAATTCGAGTAGAATCATCGTCAAGATCATGATTGGTTCTTCCTACTAATAGTAATCACTATCATTACCTAATTACTTATTCTATAATGTTAAAGCCAAATTCATTGGCAGCACTAGAGTGAACGCCACCATCCCAAAGAATGGGATTTTTTTTTTAAGAATGCCATCCCATCCTTCAGCACAATTCCAATTTCCACAATCCCATCCTTGAGAATAATATAGTTAATTTCTATTCTAAACCAAGCTAGCCAATTACTATAACACAGTATGATCTAAGAATAAAAAATCTTATCGTTTGGCATTATCAATATTATCATTCCATTTTATCAGATGCCAAGCAGTTTTCACGTTGTATGCCATATCTTGGAAGTTAATTAAGTTCAAAGCACAAAAGACATACTAGTGAAGCACTTCAAGTATAACTATTTGAAATTCAGACAAATACAGGAACCAGGAATTGCTAACAAGTTAATTTTTATGATTGGATATGGCTGTCTGTGATTGAATAGAAGCCAACAACGAAAACAAACTGAATCTAACCCCCTTGCGGAGAAGAAAATGAAAGAAAAGAAAATTGTGATACGCAACTGTGAATATGACACACATTTTGTAACGTATCTTCTCCGACTTTTCACTTGATTTTCATAGAAAAAATATTCATGGGATCAAAGAGAAAGAGATTAGGGGGATATAAATTTTAAGTGGGGTGACCACAATTTTGGTGGTTTCCACCTCATATGATGGTTCAATTCTCTTTTTTTTTTTTAAATTTAGAGTTAGTCATGCTATCCTCACTCCACTTATGAGGGCCCTTAAAGCAAGGAACCACCAGGCCATTCAATTCGTTTTCATATTTCAATTTTTTTATTATTAGCTTTTTGCCATTCTGGAAACAGTTCTAACATCAAAACCACAAATGTTACATTGCTAGCATTAGCAGAGGCCGATGATGCCATATTCCCCTTTTAATATCCCTCTTTATCAACTTGCTCATAGTGATTTAACATATTGCTCCGACCTTTAGTAACTGTCAGTTAAGCTGTCAATCAAATTGAAAACAAAAGTATACACCCAAAGTTCTGCATTCATTGGAGCTTTTAGTGAATAACCTACAGATGTAAAGCCACCCGTTTAAAGGCATATATCAACCTTTACAGCAGGTTATCAGCAGAAATGAAAGCAAACCATGTCAATTCATTGAACCCTGAAAGTTGCACTACAACTAGACACATGGCAACCATTCTCATTTCATAACAAACTTAAGTTTCATCAATTGCAACATATAAATTCAAGGATCACATTTGTTTCCACAGGATATCCTAAGGTCCTCTAGGTGTTCTTTTAAAACCTGATTCAGGCCATATATTTCTTGTACAAAGTTCCTACAATTTTAAGCATCAAAAGGTTAACTATAATCACTTAACTATCAGTATTCAAGTTCGAAATAATTGCAGAAATTGAAGTTTATCAGTAAACTCTTAACAATTTCAAGTCAGCAGAAATGAACTCTTAATTGTGCAAAATCAGCCATATCCAACAGCTTTGTTCAACTTTTGATGTTAATACAAAAATTTGTAGCAGTAATTTGAGAAGCATAAATGTCAGACCTCTACTTTTCCTCTTGAAAGTGTAGGCTCAGGAAGGTGAAAATCAACAAGAGGAAGGCTTCTCTAGTTCTCAGTACGGATCAGGTTTCAGCCAATGCAAGTTTACCCATGATTGCAAAAGTAGACGTAGAACAATTTGCTAAAAATGCGGTAAGTGCTGAAGCATAATTATGGTCTCCCAGAAGGTCAACTGATTGGCTATAATTGTCCCATCAAGAAACTTTATGACAAATATTAACAAAAACGTTCTGGTAAACTTTTGCAACCATCTTTATAATTGGCTAAACAGAACAAATTTCTATGTAACATGAATGAAATATAGGCTAAAGATTTGATTTTCTCAGTAACTTCAGGCAAATTCAAGTTACTATCATGCAGTGGCTATTTTTGGTGTGGTTTCTTCACAACAGCCTCAGTCCTGATATGATCAATGGAATTGATGTAAAATAGAACATCAAGATTCCATCCTTAGGCTGCTCGGGGTACTACAAAAGACCAAGTCTTTTTTCTGCCTTATGAAGTAGTATGTAATTTTTTTTTGCTTTATTTTGTACATGAATAACAAAATCAAGTACAATTTTGATCTAATAAGTATTTAACAATGGGTTTGTTAGAATAATATCTTATTCCACCTTCTTTAAAGAAAAAAGGTCACTTTTATGACACCTAAACAGTGCCTTCCTATTCGTTGCTTTTCAAGTTTTGTCCTATTCTTACCCTTTTTTTTACTTAGCTTCTGCATCTATGGCCTTTACTAAAGTCAGTGAGGGGACACTAACATCATTTCCTTGAATGGATGGGGGAAGAGGATCTAGGGACTTCCATTGCCTTATTCCCCCTTATCCAATCAATTACTCACTACTAAGTTCCTTTTTGATCACTCATTGTTTTCTTACAAAGTGATCACTGTCTGAGAATAAAAAAAAATGATTGTAGACGTCGAGATTCGAATTTAAGACTTATTGAATGGTGTGGTTGGATAAACTATTAAGCCTATCTGAGATTTGAGTCCCAAATCCGCTGAATGCCATTGGCACCTATCAGTTCCTTTCTTATAGTGTTTTCTTTGCAGTTCTGAAACTTTAGGTAACAAGAAGTGTACACCATTAAGTTTCCTATAATCATCTTACTTTTAGAACGACATGACGGAACATAATTACATGACCATATCTCCACTGTCAAATTTATATAAAGAATTACTAGAATTTTTTTACGACACAGACACTTTATTTGCTAAACTAATGATTTAGCAGCTCACATTGAAGCAACAAGATTAGAAAATTACAGCAACATATCAACCTATCACTTTGATTATTTGGTTATAGTGGCTCACATCAGATGCATAAGATTCCCGTCACAAATGAGCATGCGCGCATTACAGCAGGAAACTATTTTGATGCAATATCATCATTTTATTATATACTAGCAAAAGGCAGTCAGAGCCTCTTGACAATTGCAACTAGGTTAATAGTATATATATGAGTCGTGGACGCCCAAGTCTCCATGAACCAGCAGCAATTAGTTGGACTTAAATACCATTTCCAGGAAGAATCAGAGAGACAGAGAGAAAAGGGGGAAAAATAAAAATGGTGCAAGATGAAATCCGAAAGGGTCCCTGGACAGAAAAGGAGGACATCCTTCTGGTTAACTTTGTGCACTTATTTGGAGATCGACGATGGGATTTTATAGCCAAAGTTTCAGGTTTGAAGGTGTGGAGGGAGACAAATGATAGGTACGATTATCTGGAAAATTGGTAGGCTCTGGAAGGAGCCTTCCTTTAACCCATGATTTTGTTGTAGGTTTGAACAGAACAGGAAAGAGTTGCAGGTTACGATGGGTTAATTACCTGCATCCTGGTCTCAAAAGGGGAAAGATGACTCCCCAAGAAGAGCGCCTTGTGCTGGAACTTCATGCCAAATGGGGAAACAGGTTTGAGAATATGCAACAATATCTCACTCTTTCTTTTTCCTTCTCTGTTTCCATTGAGAACCTGAAGATTGCTTCAGTTTTTTCTCTTCAAAATTTTTGGTTTCATGAGCATACAATCATATGCAGATGGTCAAGAATTGCTCGGAAATTACCAGGGCGTACTGACAACGAGATAAAGAACTATTGGAGAACTCATACGAGAAAAAAGGCTCAAGAAAAGAAACAGGCCACCTCACCATCATCATCATCTTCAAATTGTCATTCCTCATCATCAACTATTACTACAGTGGATTCCTTGCCCTTCTCAGGTACTGGAAAGGTAAGTTTTTATGACACTGGAGGTCCTGACATCGCAGCTTTGACAGGAAAAAACAGTCCAGAATTCATAGATGAAAAGGGATACCCCATGGATGACATATGGAAAGATATTGATATGTCTGAAGAATACACAATTAAAACTCTGTCTAATAACTACAGTGAAGAAGGTTGCAATTTTTCCTTTTCTTCAATAGCTTCTCCTTCATGGGAGTACTGCTGGGGCTCACTGTGGAAGATGAATGAAGAAGAGAGTAAGATGTTCCTCCCAACCACTCAATTTCTTTCTAGTTATGAATATGAGAGAGCATCTTTAACCGGCTAATTAGAATTCATTTATTTGTTCATATGCAATACTACTACTATTTCTTAGGAAAACTCTAACCTGCATAACTGGGTTTTCTCTAAGCTTTCTGATAAATAGTTTTCTTTATCTCATCCTGCATATCACTGTAATCATCTCATTGTTGTAGTCTATGTTCCAGTGTTTTGTGTGATTTTAATCCTCAGAGTGGAAGAAAGAACCTTTATCAAAATCTCCCTTGAGGAGACCTTGTATGTTCATGGATGTATGTATAATACTCCTTTGAATTTTAAATTTTGAACCAGCTTGATGCGCTTTAAGACGTGGGTTTTTCATGTTCTACACAATGATTTCACAGCAATTACCAAATTTGAAGGTTGAATCTCAAAACCTTTACTCAATGTTATTTGTCCTGCTATTGACATATTCAACTAACTAATGAAAACCCAATCTCTTTTTATGCAAAATAGCTTAATTTCCTTCCAAATTGATCTTGAATGAATGTGAGAATTAGTCTTCCAATGAAAAGCACAAATTTTCCTCCTCTATATTTTCTTCTTGTCTTCTCCCCAAAGACCAACATATTACTTTTTCCCCCCTTTTTTTCTCAGAAATATTATGATCAGGTTTCACGAACACGCACTGAAGTTTAGGTGACCATTCTTGGAAGCAAGGGTGAAAAAAAAAATGGAGAAAACAAAAAAAATTTGAAATTGTAATGTTTAGTTTGGTTTACATTGGATTTTTTTTATTTGATATTAAATTCGGATATTAAATATATATATTAAGCTTTAATCGAATTTCAAATTGATAAGTGAAAAATAAAAAAAAAATAAATCGAGTCGAATTATATATATTTTATTAAATTTATATCAAAATTTATAAATCAAATCGAACTAATAAAATTCGATTCGATTTAAATTAAATTATATAAAAATTTAATTTAAATTTGAATCAAATTTTAAAAATTTATAATATTATATAATATAAAAAATTAAATCAAATATGATACGAGAGATAACAAAATCATTTGTGCGACTTCAATTTTATGTTTTAATTAGCTGTGATCCATTACAAGAAAAAAGATAGAACAAAACCATTCGTACAACTTCAATCATATATTTATGTTAGCAGTTATCCATTACAAGAAAAAGCAAAGGTAACATTAGTGATAGTGAATTAATTGGGGCAGATGTAGGCTACTTCCACGAATGTGAAGAGCTTATGCTTTTGTATGATGTGGTCCTGATTGTATTGTTATCTGCAATCTTCCTAATATCATAAACTAATTTAGTGGCTAGCCACTCAAATTAAATTATATGTCTACTTTTTCTAAATGTTTCGTATTTTACCTCCTTTATTGGATAAACCAAGCCACAAATTGTATCAATCGGTAGAAGTTAGAAACTGGACAAAAACTAATTAATATGGATGGCGTGCAATTTTAACTACGGCTGCCAATCATTTAACAAGTACTGCGCACTAGACCCAGATGAATCTTGATTCATGGCCAACCAGTCTCAGACAAAGTGGAATAAATCAATAAGATCACCCCAAGGGCTGGGGCTTTGACATTGAAAAGATTCTATACCTAAAGTTTAGTTCAAATCTTTTAGCATCTTCTGATATATAGTCTGTGGAAATTATTACTATATGAAAAGAGGGGGTTGAAATTAGAAAGAGATGTCAAATTAACCTGTGATCCAGGGTGAAGATATGAAAGTATTCAATTTGCTTCTTTCTTTTTCTCTTTTTTTGATTCTCATGAAAAGAGAGATATGCTATGCTGGGAAGGTTGTGTCAAGGTTCTCATTGTCTAGACAAGCCGCTACATTTTACTTTGTTTCTCCATTATCCCAACTACGTACTTTAAAATTGACCAAAAACAATGTACAACTTGTTATCAACACTCCAGACTTTTAAGACAATTGCTTAACTATTTTTTGGCCAATAAAAGCTTAACATTGTATATCAGCATATTTCTCAAAAGACTTTTGGAAAGATACAGTGAATGAGCCACTTAAGACAAATATCTACAACTATTCTTATATTCTACTATTTCTTTTATCAGAACCCAGTTTTAGTATGCCGGTTTACCACCAAGGAGAAATGGTTTTAGGCACAATTTGGTCGATTACCAGTTGCTGCTTAGTGCCCTAAGAAAGGCAAATAGACAACAGACATAACAGTTCAATAGACTTGTTTTGCTTCCACTTTTGTCTTAAGAATCTTAGAAAAAAAAACAACTTGATCCTTTTCCAATCCTTAGTTTTTGATTCTCACTCCCAGCTTTGGCTATTGGCTAGGATCCATATTAGTTAAGCATGTTGCCATGGCCCATGGTGCATGTATATTAGCTTTCCTCTTTTTGAATTAGTGCCCAAAAACAAAGATCCCATTACTCTAGAGGCACACTCTTTTTCCTTTATGTAAAATTACCTAACACATTATCTTTTTTTCTTTTCCTTGTTGAACTCCAATCCAATTACTATTATGTGGAAATTCCATGTTTTCCCTAATATTCTTACAAGAAGAATTTTTTATCACTCTACTTAATCTTATTACTTGGATAGTTAAGGAGATCATTACGTCAATTAAAGAAAAACATGCAGCACCTAAAGATAGCAACAGATTGAGTCAAAATGAGTTTTTATTCACTTCAAATTCAATTCAACTTTATACACTTAATATTTGAATTCGATTCAATCCGATATTAAAATTTAATTTTTATACCTGAATCTAATCCGATCTATATATATAAAATTGTAATTGACCCAATTTGATCAAAATTAATAAAATATTATTTTTAAAATATATATATAAATAATTAATTAATTAATTAAAAATACTTTTATATATCAAATCGTGTATGGGTAAGTTTATCTAAAACTCGATCTCGATTTTTTTTTATTTTAAATCTAATCTAACTCGACTCAAAATTATTCTAAAAAAAACAAATTGATTCCATAAAATTAAATTAGAATATGATGAATTCGGATTGAATTGCCAACCCTAATAGCATTGATTGTCAATCTTAATAACACTTACCACTTTAAATGTGAAAATGAAAACTCGATCTGATTTAACTCAAAATTTGATTCAAAAAAATGAATTTTATAAAATCAAATCAGAATGAATAAATTCGGATTGAATTATCAATCTTAATAACACCCACCATGTCGAATGTAAAAATTAGTGTGCCGTAAAAAAAATGATAAGCATTTCATAAATTATTAGTCTATAAAATTTATAGTTTTCATATAATATCACTCGGTAAATGCTAACCGTCGTATTAGTAAGATATTGAATTTTTAATTTTTATGTAATATATTTTTTAATTAGTAAAAGTTATACATTAAATAGAAAATATTTTTAATATAATATTTTAAAATCAATCTCTCTCATTTTTATTCTCCTTCCGTTTACTTTCAGCTTATTTAAAGCATTACATCATTTCTTGTTGTTCCCTGTCAGGACAATTTCTCTGTTCAGAACTTTTGACCAATTTCTTGCCACTAACTCAGTCAATGGAGCTTATGCCTCTGCTGACTTAAACTGTCTGTTTTTTTTTTTTTTTTACCTTAAATTTAATTACCCACTTTTTTTCCCGGTAAAATGAAGGAAAATGAACTTAAATTGTGAATTATGGTAGAGAAAATGCAGGATTTGTCAAATTTTCAATTTTCAAATTCTTACTTTTTCTCACTGACCTGGAGATTCATTAGTGTGGAGAACATGAGTTCAAATTATGGTTTGAATTTCTATCTCTTTTTTCTTTGAAGGTTGGTTACAAACTTGTGCATTCTGGGAAGTTGTACATGGAGCAATAGGTAATTTCTTTAGGGTTTAATACACTCAGCGGTATATAAATTTTTGGTGGAAATAGTGGTATAACTTTTTATTGTTTTTGGTTTCTAAAAATGCCATTATGGAATTATCAGGATTGTTCCAAGTGGAGTTTTTTTTTTTTTTTTATCCCTCTGATGCGTTGGGGCAGGAGAAAACATTTCCTGTTAGCAATCGACTGCCAGATTGATGAGGCTCTCATGTTTTACTATATAGTCGTTGTTTTCTGCTTTGACATTCAAAATTAGCAATTGGCTGTTGATGCACTGGCTTCCTAAGCGCACAATACAATAAAAAGACGAGATCAACTTAGCTTTCTTTTATGGTGGTTTTGTTCAGGCAATGACACAATGGTCAATAAATGCCTGTTTCTCAATTTGTTTTTCATCTAATTATAACAGTTCCGGGAGTTTCCTGCTGTCTTCGTAACCTTTATTGCTTGGATCTCAAATGAGGAGAGTATATTTATTAATATATAATCTACTGGAATTTGGTATCCATATGCAATCTGTAACACGATGGGGTTTCAGATGAGCTTTTATATCTGCATGTATATGTACTAATTATGGGAGAAATTGGGAAATTAAGTCATCACTGTCTTGCATCTTCATTTTGAAATGATTAAGTTGAGAGTAATTTACTGGATGATATAATGCACACTTTTGCCATCCACGCGTTGTTCTTAAGAGTTGAATAACAGAGATGAAGATGGTTAATGGTAGCAGACCATCTAAAAACAACTAAATTTAATCTAAACATTGACTGATCAAAGGAATTGCTACTTGTGCCTTGTCAGTGAAATCCTGGTTACTTCTTCTGACAGGCTGTCAACGCCTAAAAGTGGAAATCTTTGTAACTCTAAGATAGTTTTCATCCTACATGTGTTTTGATGTAATTAAGGTTTGCAGCGTGTTTGAATTGTTAATGCTTTTGCAAGTTTTATTTACGTACTGTAATATTGCAAGTTTTCTTTTTTCTCTGTGGTAGCTGCACTTGTTTGTGTTGCTGATTTTGTTCTTTTATAGCAAGACAATATACACATTTTGTGCATAATCTGTCCTGAACTATAGCAGCATGGTTTTGCATTCTGCGTTTTACATTCACATTTTACCCATTTTGTTCCTGGTTTTACTTCATGATTGTTTCAAAATTCAAAGTAAGCCATATAACACTAACATCGTATCTGCAGGTAATCCAGTATTCGCATTCTGCTTTGAATATCTTTGGCAGTTGTCCATCTTGGCTCACCTACCTCAGGTCTGATATTTTCCTTTCCAACTGAAATTCTATACCGACTAGCATTCTGTTAAATTTAAAAATTTTTACTACCTTCCAGATACACTTCATTCATTTTGGTGTATCTTATGGGACTTGCTCTTGATGAAAGTGAGTTAAATACTTTCATTCATTCATGTTCAGAACTGATAGATATCTTCTTACTTTATCCACCATCATCTTACTTTAATTGCTTTTCCATCTAATTATTTATCCTTTGATCACATCAACGCAGAGTGATTGTTGTAACAAGCATTTCCATTTATAAAGGAGAAGAACCTCTACGGGAATTTCTGTGCCAGTCTTCCCTTTAGCTATTATAATTTTCTCTCGGTTTGTACAGTGTTTTACATATGCAAACATGGGAATCCTTGGTTTTCCTTCATCTATGTATTTGGAATAGATAATGCTTATGTTGCTGGGCCTGGGATACTGTGCCTTGCACCTCTTATGTAACCTGAGACAGGGCATGTGTTTGGCCAAGGTATTGGCAGTTTTTATTTGGGGTTTTAAAATCTTTCTTTGCTTGACTTAGCCTGTTCAAGACTCGCCGATTGCTGTTCCGAACTTAACTGTGAACTTTGGAAACAAGACAAGTTCTTTTTTGAAAAACATTACTCTGAAAGTAAAATGAATACTGTAAGCTTACACCGTATGTGCAGCTCATGCTCCAATGAGGGTTGGATAGGGTCATCACTGTCTTGGAACCGGCCATTATTTTGTTCAACTTTCTCTTCTCTGTTTCTCCCATGGATTCCTGTAAAAGAAGATTTGTTGAGTCTCCTTTTATCTACATTAATTCCAGATATATAATAGGTTGTGACAGGGATTCCCTTAATATGTCATGATTATTTCATTTCCTTTTCTTCACAGTACCTGCTAATTTTTCTCAAGTTCTCTATTATGTTTTTAATGATCACGTGATATGCTTTGAATCAGGTTTTTAGAGTTCAGAACTTGAGGTTTTTAGTGTTGCTGCTTCTTGTTTATCCCATGACATTTCTTCTCTACCAAAATGTATAATAGTTTTCCTTTTGTTGAATTGACGGCTTGTTCTAAGTTCTCTCTGATATGAAATTTCAATGCTCATAGTCATTTCAGCTCATAAACTACAGTATTACTTTGGCCCAGTCAAATACCACATCCACCAAGAGGTTTGCCATTCGCTCAGCCATTGCATCAGAAAGGGGAAAAGAAAAAGGAGGAAACTACATTTTATGTTTTTAATTAATCATTAGAATAGTGTCCAGCACTAAACTTTTCTGGGGTAGAATATGTGAGTAGCAATGACAAATGAAGTAAACTAATCCTTCAGATTCTTTGAATTTTGAAATGCAAGCGGACATACATGTGGCTTAAAGTCCTAGGTATATTATAATGGTATTTGCACTATACTATTTTTTTTAAATCTATCAAGTTGTTGAACCTAATACTGTTTTTATGATTTTAATAATCAAATTAAATGCATTTTTGGCCCAAAATTTTGTCGATTGAGAGGAAGTGAACAATATCAAATGATTGGAAAAAAAAAAAAGTTCACAGGAATCAACAATTAACAAAGAGAGATACAAACAACACGGAAGAAGCACCCACAACAATGAAACCAAAATGACCCACCCAACTTTCAACCCTTGTTCACATGGAACTCAAAAGACAATAAATCTTAATAATCTGTAGCGGGAAGCTGCTCATATGTGGCTGGAGCGATGAAGAAGACCTCATAGACAATGGCTGCAATGGCAGACCCAATGAATGGACCGAGCCAGTAGACCCAGTGGCTGTCCCATGTCCAGCTGACCACAGCTGGCCCGAAGGAGACTGCAGGGTTCATGGATGCACCATCAAAGGCACCACCAGCCAAGATGTTGGCGCCCACAATGAAACCAATTGCAATGGGTGCAATGATCCCAATGTTACCTTTCTTTGGGTCAACTGCTGTGGCATAAACAGTGTAAACCAAACCAAAGGTCATCACGATCTCAAAAACTACTGCGTTCCATTCTCCAACCCCAGATGACAAGGAAAATGCAGACGTTGTCTGTATCATGTAAGCAAATTCAAAACAATTTTGGTTAAACATTGAAGTGAACTTAGTTCATTTTTCTATCTCAATTTTAGCTTTGATTGTTTGCTGCAGTCTTACCAATCCACCAGTTGAAAACTTAAGAAGCAAGCAAGCAACAACGGATCCGAGCAACTGAGCAATCCAGTACAAAATACTCCTGACCAAGGTAATGTGCCCTCCAACAAAGGCACCAAATGTGACCGCAGGGTTTACGTGCCCACCAGAGATGTTAGCACCGACTGAAACTGCCACAAACAGCGCGAAGGCATGAGCCAATGATGCAGCTACCAGGCCTGCCGGTGTTGATGAGCCATTGTCAGTGAGCTTGTCTGCCAAAGATACATACACCCTTCATGAGTCCATTAAAATAACAAAAACATATACAATGACAAACAAAAAGGAAACTGCAACTACTACTAACTTTAGGAAAGATATTAATTTCAATAAATCTTGTTTGGTTCTAACAATATATGTTGTTAATCAAGGGGGTCTGAGAAAATTAGGATACGTACTGAAAGCCATGCCCGAGCCTTCACCGGCAAAAACAAAAATGAGCATGGAAATAAACTCAGCTAGAGCTGCCTTGAGGGCATCAGCTTGGCCAGCCTCGGCTGGAGATCCTACTGCAATTCGAGAAATTGGCATTTTTTTTCCTACAAATGAGAATTAAGTTTTCCTTTGAGCTAGACAACTCAAAAAAAAAAAAAAAAAAAAACCCACTACTCTTATCTCTCTTGCTTTCTTCACTGGTGGTTATATATAGGGGTCCAATGCAACGACTATGAACCGGACGAGCCGGTTTCAAACGGGTAAAGAAGCCAAATTTTCAACTAAAGAAGAAAAATGGGAAGAACCCTTTCGTGGCGGCCACCTGTCAGTGTCGGGAAAATATTGTGGGCGAGGGCCTCCAAATCTCTCCTATTATGCAAAGTGTATGTTTGATGTGGACTTGGATGGCCAATCAGAGCGTGGAGAATGTTGATCACCGACCAACAGTGGTCCCCCTCATGCTTGTCGTTGTTTTCGCTTGACCGACCATTGGATTGTTTATATTGAGGTGACGTGGACGGTGGTGGTTAGCTTTGCTGGCTTCATTGACATCCACTAATCAACATTAATTAAGTAGTAAATCCAAATTATTTATTCTGGTTTTTCTTATTGGTTTAGTGGTGACTACGTATAATTTTAGGTATTTGCTATATATATAGGCATATATACATGTAAAATGCGCTTTCATTTACTTAATTTGAAAGCTTCTTTGGCCAAAAAAATAAAAACATAATTTCGTAAATTTAAATTGTCATTATCATAAAATGATTGATACTTGATCAATAGTTATTTAGATAACTTGTAGAAGCTAACCTATGCCATATTTTTTGATACCCTTTGCTGTTTTTGGTTAGTTTAGAAGAACGGGCAAAAATACAAAGATGCAAACGTTGATGAAAACATCAAGGATCACTTAGGAATGGAAATAATAAATTGCAAGAGGAAAACGATAATGAGAGAAAGCTATTGCATTAGAAAAGAATTAATCTTTGAATGGGCTATTGATTAGTGTTAATGAAGAGTTTTTAAAATTTTAAAATTTTAAATTCAAATTTATTGTATATGAATTTGATTTATTTTCTATATGAAATTTATTTAATTATGTATTAATTTATTAATTGATTTATTTGTTTGATTTTAATTCAATAAATTTTTATGTAGATTTTTAATTACAGTTTTTATTTGTATTTGTAATTTCACCCAAAAAAATTAATCTTCAACATTGTCACATATGACATGACTAAATACAAGCTCTCTTTTTTGAGTGTTGATCCAATCATTTTAAATTTTAGTAAGAAACTAGAAATTTTTTTTTAATCCACCAGGTAAAGGATAGGAGATAGTATGATGAGATTTAAAGTTTATTTTATATATTTTACAAAAGTTTTAATTATGAAATTAAAAAAAAATCTTAATTATTAGATCAAAAGGCTAAAAACAAAGTAGAAGACAAATTTCCTTTAACCTTCTCCCACTCCTTTCCTTCATTGTGATTAAATTATACAGTTGAAGAATCCGAGAATAGAGTTAAAGCTGTCACCCTAGCCTAGTGAAGTAGGCAAAAAGATTTGAAATTGGAGTCTCATTTCTCCACATTAAACCAATTTGTGGCTACCATTCAATCAGATTAAAATGTGTTATCATATCATGCTCTTATCACTCTTGGCCAAGCTTTGTCATATGACTTCACCCCATGAGGCCATGATCTCTCAACTACAATCACAGATTTTTCATTTCTCTCCCCCTTGTGAGTAGCTCGACCATTCTACATCAAGAGTGAGCCAACCAAAACAATCGAAAAAAAAAAATTTAAAGAAAATTTTAAAAAATTTTATTAAATATATTAACAGTAAAATTTTTTAATAGAATTAAAATAGTGATATATATATTACAATATATATTAAAAAATATATTATAATTTTAATTTCATTTATAAAATTAAAAAATTTTATTATTAATATATCAAATAAATTTTAATTTCTTATTAGAGGAATAACTTTCTCAAAATCTAAAAAGGGTTTTGCATTAGCAAGAGTTTTTAAAGGATTAGCTGCTTTTACGTGACAAAATGATAGTAACATGACAACATATGCTCTAAATAAAGTAGATTGCAATTTAAAAATAAAAAATATTATAAGTGTTAAAATTTAAATTTTAAATATAAAATTATTATTTTTTAAATTGATTAATAAATCAATTGAATGAAAATTTAAATTCATTTATGCTCTAGTTTTAATATTATTATTGAAAATTAAGTAGGTAGTGTGGAAAGGTGGCCTCCATGATTTCAATTGGAATAAATAATCATCTGTGGTTATCAAACCAATATTTTTCGTATCCTGAATCATATGATAATATGTTTAATAATTTTAATTTAATTTTAAGAATTGGGATTATCGGTTGGCTTTATCTTGTGCAAGAATATTATTTGAGCAAGTGCTATTTTCTTTAAACCAATGTCTGACATTTCTTCTCCTCCCCTCCTTTTTCTTGCATTTTTAATCTTATCTATGCCATAGTTTAATATGGACGGCTCAAATGGCCGTCCCACAACTCTATTAAATCCACATCCTCTCCCTTTCTTTTTCACTAATTTTTTGTTCTTTATATCTTGGAAGAAGAATAAGATTATAGATATCGGCATTCTCAAGGATTAGATCAGTCTCAATCCAATGGGTAGGGAGTCGCCACTCCAATAAATTTATTTTGATTTAACGGTAAGAGATTTTTTAATTTCATTTCATACATTTTTATTTTAGATTAATTCAAATAAATTTATTAAATCGAATCTAACAATTTTATAAAAATTATTAAAAAATTATCCTTTCAACGTAAAATGAAACCTGACAAATTCATAAAAAATGATTTTTTAACCTAAAGTTAAAATCTTTCCAACTTTTCAAGCCCAAAGTCAAAAACTTCGGGGGAACCTTTGTAAACTGTCATCTGGGCTTGAAGATTACCATCTTGTTGGTTTATCATTATCCAATTCTTTCATGCCGAGTGAAGAGATTTCACCAAGGAAATGATTTGGCTTCTATATTCAGGTTCCAGCCCAGTCTAATTATCTCCAAATTAAGTATCTGGCAGCCCAAATTGGTATGACAAGTTTGGATGGCCAAATTAGCCCAAATTAGGTTGGAACAGGGACCATTTTTTTCTTTTGATGGCCACAAGGCCCAATTCAGCTTAACTTATCCCTTCCGATAAGAATCCCTTAAATAATCTAATTTTGGGTTCTTTCCCTTGAATCATACCTAACGTGTTCTTGTGACTAGTTTATGCTTTCTAAAAAAATTTCAACTCGTTTCTTTTGCTCCTTTCTATAATAGGATCTTCAATCCTTCTTTATTTCACATACACTAACTATGAAAGCAAAGTCAAAACCAAATTATAAAAAAATCTCCTTTTTACCACTTGTAAAAAAAGAAGAGTAAGGAAGCACTATAACTAAATCTGAAATTACTGAACTCCAAAGTATCCTTTACGGTACTGACTTATTTATTTGATTTAAGCTCTAGATTTCGTTAATTTCCTTTGTTTTTCCAATTTGCTCAAAATAGCTGTACTTTGAGTCCTGCGGCACATTCGGCTAAGCTGAGAACGCGTCTAAAATCATCATCATTGCAATAATTTTGTTGAAAGACATTATAGCCAGTTAATGACTACTGCTGACCAACAAAAAATTAGAAAAATCAACTTCGCAAAATTTTCCCAACCCATTCATCATTACATTCGGTGATTATTGATGCGTTCATAGTGTAAAATATTATAATTTATATAAAATATATATTATAATTTATATTAATATAAAATTTAAAATGTATATTTAGTTTTATAAAATCATATATAATTATCATTAAAATTTTAGATTACAATTTCGTACCTTTTTTATATATCATATTCCTATGATACTATTATATCTTATTTGAAATTATCAAATAATCCATCATTTATTTTCCCTGTTAACAACTCTCCTTCGCAATACTTTTTCATGATTATGACCCAAAATATCCTTTTTGTTTATCTTTATATAATAAATATATAATTTGATCTCTCTTTAACTTCTTTATATAGATCTCTCAGTCAAATCTACTGACCTTGCATGCCATACTAATCAATATTGTTCAACTTCACATTTTTCTGTCATTTTCATAATATGGAGTAATTTCTTTTGTTTAATCTAATTCTCTTTTGATATGATCTTAAAAACATATTTTCATATTAATTTAATTTATTAAAAACTTTATGCTTTATGTATTTTCATAAAAATCGAATTTTATTGCTGGATTCAAAATTTTTTTAAAGATATCTACCTATATAAAAAATTGACAATGAATTTATTAATTTTATCCATAAAAAAAAATTCAGATGATAATTTTAAGGATGTTCAGACGAAATTTGTTTAATTTGTTTAATTTTTAAAATTTATATGAACATCTTACCCATGCTTTTGAATTCACCTCTGTCGAATTCTAATTAAAAAAAAAAAAAAAACTCTTCTCCTTATCCACCGGAATGTCACGTTGAAGAAAAAAAAAATTAGGAGGCCTTCTTTATTTGTTTGCCGCCATGCAACTACTTTACCGATTGGATTGCCATTTCAAATTTAATGCAGATGATGGCGTGGCTCTCCGTTTTAATTGGTTTTCCTACAGCCAAAAGAGCATCATGAACTTGGTTCAAACTTTAGACTGGCTTTTGTTCTATATAATATATAATAAATTAAAGCAAAAAAAAAAAAAGGGAATGTTCTGATTGGAGATAGTCAGTCAAACCTTATAACCGACTTATTTTATGCTTAGTCAAATCTGCATTGAAATTGTAAAGTTCTTCGGTCGACCAAATTGGTTGTTTAAACAGGGAACTTAAATGGTCGAATCCTAAGATTTAAGTTCTGCAATAATGTTCTTATATATGCATAGAATACGACTTGCATCTTATCCTCATGATTTGCTTACCTGCGTTTGAAGTAACTAATTGTTATCTTAAACAGTTCGAATTACTCTCAATTTGCAATATTCAAAAGGTTAAGAATTGCTATTTTAAGTAGGGTTAGGGATCGACTTAACTGGGATAAGTTTTCTAAAGGGGACACGACACACGAGCGATCTTAATCTTAGGGCTGCGGTAA